CAAAACGATTTACTCGTTTCTATTCACACCATTCTTTCTGTTCAGAACAGCTGTCGTTCCGAAGCAGTTCTGTTTTTTGTTTTTTGATAGTGTTTTGTTCGGGGTATATAAACTTAAATATCTGCCCTTTTTTTTTTTTTTTTTTTTTTTTTTTTTTTTTTTTTTTTTTTTCTTTTTTTTCTTTCTTTTTCCTTTTTAAATTTTTTTTTTCTTTTCTTTAGTTCATTCGGCTGCGTCTTTCGGGGTTAATTCTCTAATTTCTTTATTCCTGATGAGTATGTATATATTTTTTCTCTCGACTTTTCACAATATTTCTTTCTTGCGAGAGCCTTGTGATTCTCTCTCCAATGGAAAGAAAGAAAGAAAGAAAGAAAGAAAGAAAGAAAGAAAAGAAAGAAAGAAAGAAAGTGTAGATAGATAGATAGATAGATAGATAGATAGATAGATAGATAGATAGATAGATAGGCTGAAAATAAATTGATAGATAATTTTGCATAAAGCGTGTTTAGCTTCAAGTGAAAACGAATGAACAACAAAAAAGAAAATGTAGATAGATAGATAGATAGATAGATAGATACGAAAAGACCGAACAATAGATATAATTAATTTTCCATAGCGTGCTTATCTTCATGTGTAAAAAAAAAGAACAAAAGAAAGAAAGAAAGAAAGAAAGAAAGAAAGAAAATTTTTCTTTTAAAATATTTTATATAGATTTTGTTCATATTTTTTTATTTACTTCTTCTTGATGCCTTTTTTTCTCTCATTTTTTTCTTTCTTCATTTTCCCTCATTTCTTTCACGTTCTTTTTTTTGCTTCCATTTTCTTTGATAATTTTTTCCTTTCTTTCTTTCAATTCACTTTTTACGCTTTTATTCCTCTTTTTGTCTTTCTTTTTCTTTTTTTCTTACGCTTTCTCTTTCCTCTCTTCCTTCCTTCCTTCCTTCCTTCCTTCCTTCCTTCCTTCCTTCCTTCCTTCATTCTTTCCTCCTTTCTTCCCGCCGTTCTTTCATTTCTTTCTTCTTTCCTTCCTTCTTTTCTTCCGCTCTTCCTTCCTTTCTTCCTTCTTCTCTTCTTTCTTTCCTTCTTTCCTTACTCTCTTCCTTCTTTTCTTCTTTCCTTTCCTTCTTTCCTTCTTTCTTTCCTTTCCTTCTTTCCTTCTTTCTTTCTTTCCTCCCTTCTTTCTTTATTTCCTTTTTGCATTCCTTCTTTCTTCGCTTCCGCCCTTCCTTTCATCTTTCCACCCTTACTTCCTTCCTTTCTTCTTCCCTTCCTTCCTTACTCTCTTCTTTCCTTCTTTCTTTTCTTCTTTCCTTCTTTCTTTCCTCTCCTCCGTCCTTCCTTCCTTCTTTCTTTCTTTCCTCCCTTCTTTCCCTATTTCCTTCTTTCTTTCTTGCATTCCTTCTTTCTTTCTTGCCCTCCATCTTTCCTTTCTTCTTTTCCTCCAACCATCCTTCCTTCCGTTCTTCCTTTTTTTCTGTTTTCCTTCCTTCTTTCCTTCCTTTCCTTCCTCTTTTCTTTCCTTCCTTCCTTCTTTCCTTACTCTCTTTCTTCTTTCCTCATTTCCTTCCTTTCTTCCATCTTTTCTTCTTTCTTTCCTGTCTTCGTTCGTTCCTTCTTTTCTTCTTTCTTTCCTGTCTTCCTTCTTTCCTTCCTTCATTCGTTCGTTTATTCGTTCGTTCCTTCCTTCTTTTCTTCTTTCCTTCCTTCCTTTCCTTCCTTCCTTCTTTGTCATTTAGGCATTTTTCCCCCGGAATGTTTTTTCTTTCTATGCAGGTTTTTTGTTTTGTACTTTTTTATTTGTTCTCGCTTTAGTTTGCAAACAAAAACACCCGACTTCATTTTTAACAGACGATTCTACTGTCAAACACTGTAGTAAAATATGTGCATATATTGGTTTCTCACTCCCGAGGCCTTGTGGCACACTAAACTAAGTTTAATAGACACATAGAAAATCAGATTTAATATAGGAAATGGAATTTAAGAGTGGTTGTTAATGTTATGGAAGAGTGAAGGACGGAAAGAAAGAATGAAAAGAGGAAAGACAGAAAGCATCAGACAAAAAAAGAAAAAGAAAAAGAGGAATAAAAAGTAAAAAAAAATAAACTAACGGTACAGAAGGAAAAGGAGAGCGAGAAAAACTGTACTTTTTATCTATCTATCTATCTATCTATCTATCTATCTTTATCAAACAGTTATTTATCTATTTGTCTGTTTGTCTGTCTGTCTATCAGTCTTGAAGGAAGGAAGGTAGGAAATTTATAAAAAGGAAAATGACAAAACATGCAATGAAAATAATAACACATTGACTAAGAAAGATAAAGAAAGAAAGGAAAAGAAAGAAAAACAAAAGAAAGAAGACTTCATAGAGATAGATAGATAGATAGATAGATAGATAGATAGATAGATAGATAGATAGATAATGATGAACAGACTGAGATAGATAGATAGATAGATAGATAGATAGATAGATAGATAGATAGATGATAGATAGATAGATATGAACAGGTTGAGATAGATAGATAGATAGATAGATAGATAGATAGATAGATAGATAATGATGAACAGACTGAGATAGATAGATAGATAGATAGATAGATAGATAGATAGATAGATAGATAGATAGATAGATAGATAGATAGATAGATAGATAGATACGCATAATTGATATTTTGTAGAGTAAAAGAAAGTTTATGGCGTCAACTGATTTTCTCAGTCACTCAATCTTAAGAAAGTCTGTTTTTTCTTTTCTCAAATAGATAGATAGATAGATAGATAGATAGATAGATAGATAGATAGATAGATAGATAGATAGATAGATAGATATGATGAACAGACTGAGATAGATAGATAGATAGATATGATGAACAGACTGAGATAGATAGATAGATATGATGAACAGACTGAGATAGATAGATAGATAGATAGATAGATAGATAGATAGATAGATAATGATGAACAGACTGAGATAGATAGATAGATAGATAGATATGATGAACAGACTGAGATAGATAGATAGATAGATAGATAGATAGATAGATAGATAGATAGATAGATAATGATGAACACACTGAGATAGATGATAGATAGATATGATGAACAGACTGAGATAGATAGATAGATAGATAGATAGATAGATAGATAGATAGATAGATAGATAGATAGATAATGATGAACAGACTGAGATAGATAGATAGATAGATAGATAGATAGATAGATAGATAGATAGATAGATAAAAAAAACATCTTTGTTTTCATATTACTCTGTAAAAATAACATAAGCAATAAATTAAAAACACTACTGTCTGTATGTAACCTTTTTTTCTCTTTTTCACTGTTCCATTTTAAAATGTATTTCATAGGCACGTCCATCATTCATCTCCTTCCATCTTTTCTTCATCTCTCTCTCCCTCTCGCTCTCTCCCTCTTTCTCCCACCCTCCCTCGTTTAAAACTCTTTCTGTTTTTTTTCCTGAACCCTTCTTCTTTCCTCCTCAATAAAGATACTCAGTTTCTCTCAACACACTACTCTTCTCCTCCCTACTCATATTGCTCTTTAACCCCCCCCCCTCCACTGCCACCCGATTTTTGCTTCCCTACCCAGTTACTCACGCACGTTGCCTCCTGACACTCTCATGCGTAGTTGTTTATCTCTTATTTCGCTTGCGAATTCCACCAGTATTACTGCTACGAAATTTTTAATTCTGCTAGCAACGTGAATTGTTCCGCTTTCGGTTTGCTTCAGCCGCCTGATTCTGTACGCTTAGAGAAGAATTGTTTCTCCATACAACTAGGGATGGCAACACGAAACAACAGTTAAAAATACAGACATGGAATGAAAAACAAAAGCTGGAAAACTCTACCCTTAAATTAAAAAAAAAATTACAAAAAAACCCCAAAAAAACACGTAACAAGAAAAGAAAAAGAAAAAAAGATCCAGGCTATCCGTAAATTTCGTTTCTTCCTTTCTTCTTCAACGTTGTTTAGTTTTCTCTTTGAGAGGAATTCTTTTTTTGATTTTATTTTATTTTATTTTGTTTACCACGAGACACGTGATTATATGGAATGTAAAAACTTTTTAAACCCAAATCTCGCAATATAAACACACAAACACGAAAATAAAAGGAAAATATTTATATTTTAACAGCACAGATAAAAAAAAAAAAAATATTAAATTAAAAGCAACCCACAGACACACCGTAAAACGTGTTTTTCTTTTTTACATATATATTTTTTCGAATATAAAACTTTTTTTTTTCTTTTTTTACATCGACATCTCTTATTCACATATTTTAGTAGTTATTCACTGCTTCTCCTTTCATTTCAAATTTCCGAAATTTTATAAGTTTATCCCTCTATTCATTTATTTATTTTTTTTACGGTTTTTTTTTATATAAAATTTACAATGTTTACCCGACGCTTGAAGATAAAACGGTGGAAAACTGCTCGGCGTATAAAAAATATTTAAAAAAAAAAAAAAAAAAGAAAGGCCCCAAGAACTGATAAGAAGAGGAAGTGAATTTGAAAAAGAAAAAAAATCTTTTAAAAAAAAAAAAAAAAGAAAAGAAAAAGAGAAAAATCAAGTATTAAGTTTCATTCGTGTGACTGTCACTCCCGAAAATGGTACTCGCATAAAGGGGGGGTAAATACAAAATTACTTACTACTTATTTTACATGTTGACAATATAAACAAAAGTAGTGTTTTCTTCTACAAAACAAAAAGTGGATCAGAGTCAAGATGAGTGCTGTCGATGTGATGTACCAACCTTATTCAAATAATTTGCATTGTTACCCACGACCTGCAATCGACCAGGTAAAGTGACACTGTTTTTTTTTTGATTTTTTTTATATTAAATTCTTCAGACTTTTTTTATCTGTCAGTTCCATTTATTTTGCAAGAACAGAAACAAAAAAATGTATATATCTGACTAACAGACCAGTTTTCCTGTTTTAATAAACGTCCACTTTTCAATTAACTCAAAAGTCAAAACTATCAGCTTGTTGATGTCTGTTTGTCTTTCTTTTTCTATCTCTCTCTCTCTCTCTCTCTCTCTCTCTCTCTCTCTCTTCTATCTATCTATCTATCTATCTCTGGCTTTTAGTATATTTATCTATAAATCTATATCTGTCTTTTATCATATCTATCTATCTATCTATCTATCTGTCTATCTATCCCTTTTCGTAAGTCTTTTCGTAGATATATCTATCTCTATCTATCTCAGTCTGTTTATCTACATACACACACACACATACATACATATATCGATATCTATACACACACGCATTATATATATATATATATATATATATATATATATATAATCCTAGTTTGTATCTATCTCAGTCTGTTCTGTCTATCTATTTATATAGCTGTCTGTTTGTCTGTTTGTCTGTCTGTCTGTCTGTCTATCTAATCACGCGACTTGAGAAGTGTTTGTCATGTACGTTAATTTTTTTCGTTTTGCTTTTGAAAACTCCTGAACTAAACTTGATGAAATTTTCTCACAGAACTAACTGCTTTTTTTTTTTATCTTAACCCTAATCCGCGTAAAGGATTTTATCCCGAATTTATTCAATGGCATCTGTCTTGTATTGACTGTGTGTAGTCCGTCTCCTGTAGATGACATGATTTTTTTTTTTTTTTTATTCTTTGTTGTTTTCAACTTGTGTGACGCTTGACAAATTAACACATAACCATATTTATTGCCCTACCCACAATTAATGTAAAATTCCATTACTGTTCTTTCTTTTCTTTTCCTTTTTTTTTTTTTACTAACAGTAAAAAACAAAAAACGAAAGGAAACATTCGTTAGCATTTTTCTTTGCAGATTAAAACGCGCAGGATCACGCGCATGCGCGCAAACTCGTAACCCGCTTTATTGGAAAATATGTTTCCGTTTTTCAATTGTTGATAGCAGAATACGACTTATTCACGTCTTCGTTGTAACAATGAACTTGAAAGCAAACAGAAGATGCTTTCTTATTTTCATGGCAGTTCCTGCAGACTGTAAAAACGTTTGCTTTGAAGATCTTAAAAAAATTATCAAATTTCAAGGATCTTGAAGTGGAAATTTAAAAAGAAAACATGTAACACATGAAAAAGACAACAATAATTCCAGTTGTGATTGGGGCTCGGGGTTTGATTGGGAAATGTTCCGATAGACTCATAGTGGGGATACTTGGCAGCACATGCCTTACAAAAAATACAATATAATTGTTCTCACAAACACTACTCAAACACTCCAAACGATTTTATCTATCTATCTATCTATCTATCTATCTATCTATCTATCTATCTATCTATCTATCTATCTATCTATGTCTGTACATCACTCTCCCCATCTCTCTTACTATCTATATAAGTCTGTTCATTATCTATCCATCTATCTATCTATCTATCTCTTTATATCATCCTGTTTATCAATTTATCTATCTCTATCTGTTTATCTATCTATAAACACACACACACACACACACACACACATATATATATATATATACGCAAAACGCGAAACAAATTTAATCTCTAAATATATATATATATATATATATATATATATATATATATATATATATATATATATATATAATGTAAATATATATATATATATATAAAATCGATAGATAGATGGATAGATAGATAGATAATAATCGTTTGTAGTGTTTGAGCTTATTTGTCAGAGAACATTTTTTTGTATTTTCTTTAAGGCATGGACCTGAATAAGGTCCCTACCATAAGTTATCAGAGCATTATATATATATATATATATATATATATATATATATATATATATATATATATATATATATATATATCTTACATAAATGTCCAGTTTTAAAATGTCATACAACCATTTCTGACCTTAGATCTCTTATTCGGACCTGAAAGGAAACAACAGAAATGAAAGGAAATGATTAATAAATAAACAAAAAACAACAACAACAACAACAATAATAATAATAATAATAATTGAATTTTAGCCGAAATTTGTTCCAATTGGTACTGTGTATTTTATTAAAAAATGTATTAAAAATCTAGACGCATTGAATACAAAATACATAACAAAGGACCTTGAAGCCCATCTTCGTTGTGTGACGTGTCCCCTAGAGGACGTAGACGATCGTGGATCTTCACAACTTCCTGACACTTGTAGCCCTTTATAAACTTTGTCTTTCTACTATTTCTCCTAAGCACTGTTCCGCCATTCGTTTACTTATAATTAATTTGTTTTCGTTTCGTTTATTCTGAAATTCTCTCTTTATCTGTCTATTTTCTATCAAATTCTCCAAGCCTTACTTCCTTCCTCATTATGTGACCCAATAAAACCTCAACTGTCTCTTTCTGATGTTAAATATTAATTTCCATTCCGTTTTCAGTTTCTCGAAAACTAAGCTTTCAGAAGTCGTTAACAGTATATTCACATTTATCTAAACTTTTTTTAGGGAATTATTATTTTAAATTGATTTCTATATCATACACATTTCTTTGTGGGTCCCGCCCAGGACCTAAGGTTAGAAATGGCATCATGACACTTTCCACTGACAAAAAAAAAAAAAAAAAGACAATTAAATTGATAAAGCCCTTCGTATGGGCTGTAATGGAACAATTTTTTGTATCTCCTTGAGGCATGGATTTCCAGGAATTTTCAATTAGTCTACTGCAATCTTTTCCAACCAATCCTAGGGCTCCAACTACAATTTATATTGATGATGTTTCCATATGCCACATTTTCGAGATTTCTATTTCAAGGTCCTTGATATTTTGACAGCTTTTTGAATATCTTCAAAGATACATTGCAGTCAGCAGGGACTGCCATATCAATAAGGAGGCACCGTTTTTGTTTGTGATTTTTTATTATTATTATTATTATTATTATTATTATTATTTAAAAAATTCAGTTACATACTTAATTCTTCCATGACAATATGCTAGATGAGACCTAAGGTCAGAAATAGCTTAACATTTTCCACTATGCATTTTAGTCAAAAAAAAAAAATAATATCACACACATTTTATATCGATAAAAGAAAGCTCTTCGTAATGTTTGAGCTGTATTTGCGAGTAAAAGCCTTTCTATTTCTTTAAAGACAATAGCTACCAGGAATCCTTTTCAATGAATCTATCGGAACTTTTTCCAATCAATCCAAAGCCTTCAAATATAAATGGAATTATTGATGTTCATATGTGCCACCTTTTTTTTTTTTAGATTTTCACTTTGGATTTTGAGAGTTTTTTTTGAAGATCTTCAAAGAAACATTACAATCTATTATTATTATCATTATTTTATTTTGAATGTATCGTTCTATTGTTGTTGTGTAGTTTTCTTGAGTACCAGGGAAACAACTGCCTGTCAAGTCACAACAAGGACCTCAAATAGACAGGACTTTTCTTCAAATATGCTTGATGTACACAATAAGTCCGATTTTTGTGACATATTTTTATCGATATATATATATATATATATATATATATATATATATATATATATATATAGTTGTTTGAATTCTTGCAAGTATTGAGCGATTTAAAATAAGTACCTCGCATATATAATATATAAATAATATATATAAAATTGCATATAGTAAAAAGAAAAAAAAGATATATAATCCATTTTTTCTTATAATATTTTTATTTTTATTTTTAAAAACACTGTATTAATGTAAATTTTTGCAGCATAATATTATTTATTTTTGATTTAAAAATATTTTCCATTTTTTCCCAACATTTTTTTTATTTATAATATATATATATATATATATATATATATATATATATATATATATATATATATATATATATATATATATATATATATATGTGTGTGTGTGTGTGTGTGTGTGAAAATATATAGAAAATAGGAAGGAACTGGTTAGGTAAATAATCCAAAGTTCCTTAGTATTTTTAGTTATTATTTTTTTTTAAAAAATAGTGCTCGATACAAAAGTAGAGCATAACTATAATTATTTATTTAAAAATGATTCTAACTCGCGACATAAGAGGTCTCATGTTTCAAAACAAGAGCCGAAAACTTCAATATAATTATTTGAATTAAATTGAGTTAACGTAAGCTCTGTTCCATCTTCAAGAGAAATTTTTTTTGAATAAATATATATATATATATTGACACCTGTTTGGTAGAGATATTCTTTAAATGTCAATGTGATATTCTTTAAATGTCAATGTGATATTCTTTAAATGTCAATGTGATTGGGCCATGTACTCCAATCACTATCGGTAGGACTTTTAACATTTTTCTCCGATGATCTGGCAGTCTTAACATTCAGGTCTGAGTTGTTGCTGATTTTTTTCTATTTGATACCACTACTACTACTACTACTACTACTACTACTACTATTATTAATAATAATAGTAATAATAATAATGTATCTTTGAAGATTTTCAAAATGCAAGGATCTTGAAGTGGAAATTACAAAAATGTGGCACATAATGATAGCATTAATTCCAATTCTAATTGTAGCGCTCGGATTGATTGGAAAAGGTTCCGATAGATTCATTGAAGGGATACCTGCACCAAGCCTTAAAGAAAATACAAATAATTGTACTCACAAGTACAATTCACGCATTACGAACGATTTTCTCTATGTAAAATGTGTGTAATTTTAGTTTGTTTCTTTTTAAAAAAATGCTCAGTAGAAAATGTCATACGACCATTTCTGAGCAACATAGGTTAATGACCGGAAGGAAATGTTTTTTACAAAAAGAAATTTATAAATAATATTAATAATAATAATAATAATAATAATAATAGTCACAATTACAGTTCATACATCAAAAAAATGCTTTATCTATGCAAATTATTATTTATCTAATTTTTCATAAAATGACCAAGAAAATATTTTAAAGTCATTTTAACATTGTTATATGTCTGGTTGGGATTTATTAATGAAGTATACAACAGAAATCAAAGGAAAAAATAATAATAATAATAATAATAAACATAATGATAATAATTTTTTTAGTTAAACACAACAGAATAAATCAAATTTGTAAAAAAGAATTTAAAATTTAAACATTATAAACAAACATTCTATTGACTTTTTAAAAGTCAGAAGAAAATTAAAATCCTTTATTCTAAATGTCAAAAACAAAAAAAAATTTAAAAGAAAGTCAAAATGTTGCTGTATGTATAATGAAATAAATAATTTTAAAAAATGGATTAAAATTTACCTTCAGGACGTAGGCGATCATGGCTTCCACTTTCTCCAATCCCTGCACCTCATGAAATAAGTTTTGTCCATTTATAAAAGTATAAATAGACCCTGTTCTGTCATCCACTTGTTTCTGTCATGTGTCTAGATATGTCATGCATTGCTTTCAATGTCTATCTTTACAAATTCGACCTGTATTATTTAGATTCTATATGCATCCTTTCATATTTATTTCCCAAAAATTTCAGATTGTTATAAAATCCTTATGTCAAATATAAATATATCACTTTTGTTTGCATCCTTTCCAAAAAATCATCGTTGCTCAATTTCCCATAAAAATTGATATCCTGGACATCCTTCTATAGAACTTATCTCCGTCGTCTCGAGTCTCTTCTTCATCTTTTAATCTACTGTCCAATATTTGCTGCCCAAAAGAAAAACAGATGTCGATTAACAGATATCAGTAAATATATAGTTACGTAAAGAAAGAATATACCCATATTTTCCCAAAGTTAAAATGGACTGTTGGGATCCATTCTTATTCACACAATCAAAATAATTTTTGTATTCTTAAATTTAAATTTGAACTTACAAAAATATGTCAGATGTAAATTTTCACTTCTAAATTTTAAATTCAAGTAATTGTTTTATACCCACAGATATTAAACAAGGGTATTACCGTTGACGTTACCTTAATTTGATTATGAAATATGCTTGGTTAATTTAGTATTACCATTAATTTGTACTTTATTAGTGTTTACTTTCGTCATTTACATCGGGACTATTTTCTTCATCGTTTTCATCACATCTTCCAGCTTTCTTCACTGTGTCCTGTTCCTGTACGATCACCGAGGTTAAGCAACGTCGAACCTGGTTAGTACCCCAGATGGGCGACCGCTAATAAAAGATGCTAAATAGCTTGGATGTAAAAGGTGGTTAATGATAATGGCTCGAATTGTTAATTTATATTAGAGTTGAGTTCAATTTCCGTTGTTTTATTTTTTAAATTCAAATTAAGTAAAAAACCCATAGGAAAGGCATGAATCCATTTGAGAATTGGTAAAGCTATGGGTTAATTAGCAGGACTTGTATCATTAAACCATTATGACCCCCCCCCTCCAAAAAATCTTACAATAAAAAAAAACCAATTGAACCAACAAATTAGGTGTCTGTCGATCCGGTTAGCCGTCATGGAAATTCCAATTGATCCATTTATTTAATCCGTGGGATTAGATTGTTCTCGGCGTGCTGGCCATATCTATGGATATCTTTCCGAATTTGTGATACAGCCCTTCCGCTCCAAATTTATGAGACACACTACAAATCAATTTTAATAAGGTAGTATTCATATAAAATACAAATTTTATAGTAACCTAATTATGTACAATAATAGATCATATGCGAACAATTCAACTAATCAAATTGAAAATAAATAAATACAATGTATCTAAATACAAAATTAGAGACATGTCAAGAGAGTTTTCTATCTTAAATAAATCAACAATGTTTTGACTCTTTGAGGCAATCTTTAACATAAACTTGAAATTTTTCTTGTTAAAAAGTCAAATTATTATGGATAGTGAATTTTATATAAGGTTTTTATGGATGGAAAATAACTCCGAAAAACATGCATAGGTGATTTAATTAAAAATAATAACAATAATAATAATAATAATAATAATAATAATAATAATAACGTCTTCTGCTTCTTTCTTTCTTTGATATTCTATTTATAACTAAATCAATTTATCTAGCCATGTCAGTCAGTCAGTCAGTCAGTCAGTCTATCTATCTATCTATCTATCTATCTATCTATCTATCTATCTATCTATCTATCTATTTATCCTCCGATTTATTTAATTTCGGTCGAAACTAGTCGTTCTAAATGGAATAATAAAAAAAAAAAAAGAAAATTAATCTACAAATTTGTGTCCAAAGATTTTAATTTTTTATTTTCTTATTGTTCAAAATATATATATGTATATATATATTCACTCAATATCCATAATAATATCTATCTATCTAGCTAGCTATCTATCTATCTATCTAGCTAGCTATCTGTCTTTTTCTTTTTATTTATTGTTCAATGTTTATCCACCTACTTTGTCACTAGGATTTGAATTGAAACACATTTCCTCACTATTAGCAGCAAAGTGATGTTAGAATATGTGTAGAAGACAATGGAGAAAATGCTTCACTACATTTGCCAAGAACAATCATACCAGTGCCCAATTTATAGACATAAGAGAAAAGGAAGCAGTGGAGAGTCGATATTACTTTTATCCTCACGGATATTTATTCTTATATCTTAATCTACTGAAGGGGATTTGTAGTTGGTTCGTGTCACATTGACGGGTGACCTTTTTTTTTTTTAAAAGAAAAATTTTTATTTTTTAGCGGGATCAACGTGGTTGTTTGGTCTGAAAAAATGTTTATTTTTAATCACGCAAAATTGAACGTCAAATCCAAAATGTAAAGAAATGTTTTAAAAATTCGGCCATTTGCCAAAAGTCCGATCTGGTAATAATGTTTGTTTACATAGAATGACTGACTTTTCTTCGTTCGAGTTTTGAACGCGTCAAATGATAATTTTCCTCTTCTGAGTGTTCTTAAGAGAAAAATGATGGCATGACAAGATAAGGTTTTTTTTTGTTTGTTTGTTTGTTTTTTTTCGCGGGTGACTTGACTAATTGCATTTTTTTTTGTATCATAATTCTCAATCGTTGAACCAATCAACCGGGCAAAAAAAAAATCGAAAATGTTTTCAGAAAGGACCTCTTCTTATTGCAGTAAGACATACTCACCAATAATGATGACTTGCTATGAGGTAAAAATTATTTTTTTTTAAATAGTCTTCTTTCATTTTTCTCTTATTCGTTTTTTTTTTTTTCTTTCTTCTCCCTCGCATTCAATAATTTTTGTTTTAAACATTTCGAAATTGTCTGAAAACTAAGCAGTCCTAAATATGCAAAATAAATATCTGGTTTTAGTTTCGAATTTTCATAAAATATAACAAATTTGAGGAAATTTACATGTCGTCTGATTTTGTTTTTGAAAACATGCTTTGTTTGCGTATTAACATTTTTTTTAACAGATGAGCATTTTTTTAAAAAAACGTTCAATGTCTAAATTTTTGTTTTAGTTATCTATTTTCTTCTTGTTTGGATTAATTTTCCCAGTTGTAATCAAGACTAGTATAATAGCAAGCTAGATTCAGCGCTCCGAAAGTGCTTTGTGACCCTCGCTATCTGATCAACATTAGCTTTTTTTCTACCTATATTCTACCTATATTCATATACATTACAAATTAAACTAAACACAACTATTAAAAGTAAAGGATGAAAAATTTTCACGGATTTTGACGTCAGTCTGGGTTTTCCTTGTTCAAATCCGTGAATTTGATTTGTTCATGCTAAGTCTCGAGAAAACACTATATAAAATTCAACAAAAACACTATATAAAATTCACTATTTTTTATCCATCGTATTGAATGTGTTAAAATTCTTCACCTTTAACAAGAAATATCTCAAATTGATGTTTTTAGCATCAACATGAGATTTTTCTTGTCGCAAAACATTGTTGATTTATTTCATATGTAAGGAAATAATTCATTATGATATATCTTCTAATTTGTATTTAGATACATTGTATTTATTTTTGAATTTTTCTAATTGAATTGTTCAACGATATTTGAATTGTTCAGTTATATTGCATGCATTACTGTAAATAATTAGGTTACAATAACATTTGTATTTTATATGAATACTACTTTACAAAAATTGAGATTTAGTAGAATGTCTAGCCCCGTATCATAAATTGGGGGGGGGGGAGTATCATAGATTGGAGATACTAGACCCTTGAACCGATCCGTTATTTGATTAAATAACTTATCTATTTTCACCCGATGAAGTTAGAATTTTTTTTTTTAACTGAAATATTGTTTTCACCTCAACGGAACATTGAATATTTACTCGAGCTGGTCTGGTTGACTATTGCTACTGTGTAAATAATTCGATCTTCACCGGGTGCATCATGCTTGTGACGTTGTGTCAAACTAAGCTAAGCGTCACTATTAAAAGTTTAAGAAGGAAACCCCTACCAGTACTGGAAAGAACAATAACAGCTACTGGACTTGTGAAACCTATTCTTCTGAAAAATTGTTTTAAGAGAAAGATTTTTTATAAATTTTAGCCGAAAACAAGTACTGACTATTCGATCAATGAATGCCGAATGTTTCCTTATACTGAAACGGCTAATATTACCATTAGTATAAAAAAAAACTCCATCCTGCCCATGGGGTTCTAACCGGTACTTTGTTTCGGGGCCTTAAACTAAGAAGGGAAACCATGCAAAACCCATCACTTCTCGAAAACAAGTACTTTCTACCCACAGCCCGATATACACTTACATCCACATACTCAAACATCAGTTATGTGACACCCTTAGGCAATCATGTAACTTTTGATACATGACTGATTTTTTCCCGCATTAGGTTGCCATTTCTTTCTGCAATAAAACCCGGTCTGTGCTTCTATTTACCCATAGCTAGAGGGAGAAGAGGATTCATACCTTTAACAAGGGTATTAGCACGTAAGTGAATGTAATGGATTCGACTGGAATTCGAACTCGGCTCTACAATTTCTCAGTCGATATTCTCCACCTTTTTTTATTATTATTAGCATTTATTATTAATTATTGTACGCCTTGTTGTGTAAACATATGATAACACCAAAATTATTTACCTACAGCCCGGAAGGTAGATGCACAGATGCGTAAATTAGCGAAATGATGTGACTCGCGCACACCAGATTATTCGCGTTATCATATGCCTGTATCTATTATTATTTTGTTTCTCAAGGACTTTATGTGTCTTATATCTGATCATGGAAATTAAGCATTGATGAGACGTAGATTTACTGAACATCAAATCCTCAATTTTGAGTAAAATCTTTGCTTGCCTCGGGGCCCCGAGGGGCTGTCTTGCATCGCCTTGCAGCATTTCTTTTGGAGGCTCTGGTCCTGTCACTGTGGAAAGGTGAGTAAATACCGTCTATATTGAGTGTTATGAAGGACCCCACCATTTGAATACTACATCTTTGTCATATGCATTCACAACACATGCCTTTTAGTCGGTCGAGTGGGGCAGAGCAAGGCATCGAGGCTGAATATATTTGCAGTTTGTATTACATACAAAATAACAACATGGGTTTTCTTACCATAGAAAATATAAAGTATTTTTAAAAAAATGTCTATTTTTTGGTCAATAAATCCAGTTCAGTAATTTTACGTAACTTTCAAAACTGTCACGTGTTCATTGAGAATTTTTAGCGTAGTACCAATTCTGTTTACAGGACTTGTAGTATTTCCACCCGCCAAGAGATATAAATTTGAATTTTTGTTTTGTGTGTGTGTGTGTGTGTGTGTGTGTGTGTGTGTGTGGTATTTAAGAATTTCAAATAAAATTTTGCTAGCAGATCAGTTCAAAAATCGGGCTTAATACAAAGACAAAAACATTCGTTTTTTATCAGTACAGGAGATCTTGAAAAGTTCTCGGTCCGACTAAGAGGCGATATCCGAAAAAAATAATTTTAACTAACATATCTCCAGATGAGCGGATTTCAAAATCTACAAAACTCCAAGTAGAGATAAGTAGGCATTATTATTATTATTATTATTATTATTATTATTATTATTATTATTATTATTTCTTTTTATTTCTGTTGTACACTCATTTCCTTCCGGGTCCCAACCCGAGACCTAAGGTTAGAAATGTCATTATTATTATTATTATTATTATTAATTTTCATATGTACGTTTTTTACATGGGCTTTAAAAGTTGAAAGGTCGGTGCATTCTGAAGGTGGTAGTCAAAGATGCAGTTGTTCGTGATAAAAATGTTCCGCAACTTTGAAGATTACCTATTAAGGTACACACGCTGAAAAAAGTATCCAGAATTTTCAACTTTGAAAACAAATAAAGAAAAATACATATGTAAATTACTACTGTCTCACCCTGGGTGAATTAAAAAAAAATATATATTATTATTATTATTATTATTTTCCATTGCTTGCGTAGGACGTATTTCCCCTGGGGCTCAACCAGATACTTCAAGAAATAACAAGTTTTTGTACCAGAAAATACAAACAGATGCACCCAGAATAAAATATAATTGTGGTAATTGTATTGAGTGTAACCTCAGCAATCTATGAGAAATACACATGAAGATGATTTTCCGTAATTACCAAATTTTAATCAGGACAAGAATTTGATCTGTTTGTAGGTTTTTCATTCCCAAAGCCCTAATAACAAAAGGTAATGCTTTATTCTTGTAATGCTACATTCGTCCGATTTCTGTCTGGAGGTCCTAGGATATTACTCAAACATTTTCAAAAGTGCGTTTTTCTCGGCTGGAGCTGCATCATCTATCTAAAGACAAGTGTTTTTAACGTGATTTGCCTGAATTATAGCTGGTCGATTTGACTGAATTATTATTATTATTATTATTATTATTATTATTATTATTATTTACACTGAAAGAAATACATCAAGATTAAACAGATATAGAAGCTTTAGAAAGAATAATAAAAGCAGATACAAATATATATGTAAATATATATATATTACATATATATATATATAGAGAGAGAGAGAGAGTTAGAGAGAGAGATAAAAGCCTACCTATTTTTCACGAGCATCTGTGTTCGTGTGTGTGTGTTTCTATCTCTCTCTTTCGATGTGTGTATCACTCTATATATATATATATATATATATATATATATGTGTGTGTGTGTGTGTGTGTAAACAT